CCATTCATCAACTTCCATTGGTTACCATCGATAAATTTAGCAAAATAGTACGGCAACGATTTTTTTTTGCTTCAACTGATGCAACATTGAAATTTAAACATTTGCGAAATCTTTACGATAATTTAGTCTAATAAAACTATATGAATATTAGCAAATATTCCAATTTTTTTGTACTGTATTATCGAATAGGACGAAAAAAAACGAAAAATCAATGATTGATCAGAAAATATCGGAAATTAATTGATTTTTCAAGTTTTGTTTAGAAATTAAATTTGATACATTGTATTATTTCATTAAAACTACTATGATCAACAATATGTATCAATAATGGAATGAATGTAATTGACATTATCGTACGTTTAAAGCATTAAAGTAATTTTATATTGATAAACAAAATAGAAATGTAAGAAGAGATCGTTGAAATTTGTTCATTTTCCTAGTTTTATTCTTATACTAAAATGATTGGATTGGCAGAATATTCCTATCACTTACATTCCTCACTTATCCATTCTCTCCTATTGTTCTCGAATTGAGGATTTTAAATTTATTGAAACACCCATTTCTTATCATTTTCCTTCTTTCGCTCTCGCATCATTTTATTTTCCCTCTCTCTCATTTCCCGCTTCCCTGCTACATCATATCTTTCTCGATTTTGATTCTTTTGGAAAAAATTAATGTACTTACTATGTTTGGTTAATTATTTTGTTTTGCTATCTGTGACAGAAAATTTGAACTGTTTTATTGAAAATAAAATTAAAAATTATAATAATAATTGAAACGCGCACTTAGTTGATTGAGGATAAATTGAAATTTAAGACTTTATTGCTTGACGAAATAGCAAAAGTAAACTTATTTCTTCTTCAACAATAAATCTTACGAATAACAATTTATTTACATTTTGCTAAAACGAAAAAAGAAAGCAAGTTGATATTAAATTTCTTTTTTTGAAAAAATTTTGCTTTTCTTTTTGTTAAAAGAAAATGAGAATTTTGAAAATTTTCAGTTTGGTGAATTTTGTAAAAGTTTTTTCTTTTTTTTTTTTCAACTATAACATTTATCCATTTTCACGTTTATTTATCATCTTCGAATCAATCAACATTTCATTTCATTTTCTCTTTCTTTTCTTTTCTTTTTTAAATCCTCATTAGCTCTTCATCCTTTTCTTTTTTTTTCTCTCTTCCCATCACACGCACACACACACACACATTCTCTCCCTCCCTCTATCTTCAGACTATTGCACTTTACTCTTTTTTTTTTTTGCTCTTAGATCGTTACAAATGTAAGCGTTAATTTCTAAGCTTTGTTTATTTGTTGAATCTTTTTTTGCTTCACTTTTTCATATTCTTTTTTCCGAACTGTTCAATATGACCACGTGAATAGTACTGTATGTTACGTAACGTAGACGTAATAACAATATGAAAAAAAAATGTATTATCAGATACTGTGATATATTGCTTATTAATTTGCTATAATACGTTGAAATATAACTATCTGCATAATGAAATAAGAAATAGTAATTCAATTGAAATTTCAATTAATTAATCTTGCTTATCATTTATCATCTCCTTCCAATTTATAAATTTATCGTATTTTAAGAATATTAAACCGTTGTCCATTTCTTCCTTCTCCTCCTTACCCTCCTCTATATATCCTCTCATATCATCCCTTCTACACTCATCCTACCTAGCATTCTTGTTGACTTGTTTACAGGTTTCATCGATCATTAATTAATTCTAATCCTTTTCCATTTCTATTCACTTCCTCTTACAAATCTATGAGTAATAAAATTGTTCACATTAATCAATTTTGAGATGGAATTTTCTTTTGAGAATTATTTATTCAAGGCCAGCCAGAGTTGATTCAGCCAGCCATCCTTAATCATTCCTTTTAGCCATCATATATTGTCCCATGAATTCCGGATTATTGCACTTTTCTATTTTTCTTCCTAAACTTATGTATATATCAATTTCTTCCAACTCTTTTCTTTCCAAATAGTTCCAATGAACTTTTCAAGAAAAAAATTTTACAATCTTTTTTTTTTTTTTTGTTTAAAAGTTTTCCTCTTTTTTTAATTTAATTTAATTTAATCGTTTTTTATTTTGGAGAACAAAAAAGATAACAAATGAATTTGTTAGCTGCATTGATGTTTAGCTAATTTTCCGGAAAAAAAAACAATGTCAAATGAAATGGAGCATTTTGATAGGGAATGGAAGAATGAAGAATGTGTAGCGGTTTTGAAATTTCATCGAAATCAATGAAGCCATAGGGGTCTTGAAATTTCATTGAAACCAATGAAGCTAAGAGATGAGAGAGCTAGCACCACCATTAAAAGCTGTTCAATATCTGTCTATACTGAATGGGGAGGTTATAAATTAGTCTGTTTAACTTTTGCTTCTTAATATTTTGAAATGATTATTGTTAGGTTACTAAAAAAACTTATAAAATCATTTTTCATTATTCTTTTCTATGCTTTACATTTTGTAGAATTAAATTTTACCTGTTACTTAATCAGATGAGACGTATTAGTCCGGGTTATTTTTATGTTTCTTCAAAATCAAAAAAATAAATTTTGAACCAGTTTATGAAAATTTTGGATAATTGTGGAAATTCATCGATAAGCACGAAAGAGAGAGAGAGAGAGAGAGTGAGTGAGAGAGAGAGAGAGAGAGAGAAATAAAACGTTTATTTTGAAATAAAATTTCTGAATTCTTCCAGGTGTTCATATTTTAATTTATCAATGTTGCATTTTTTGAACTATACCATTCATCATTAATCATCAAAATTAGAGATTTGTTGTAGATGGCCTTGTTTCTTTCTTTTTTTTTTCTGATAATTTGATGAAGAATGAAATATGTAAATTCGAACAAAAATCCCTCCTTTTGTCAAATATTTTGGAATTGTTTTGAAATTTAGAAATTTATTTGTTATGACATCGTAGATCGACTTGTTTTGGAATAGGTGCAAAAGATAAACAGATCACCTGCATCTATGTCTGTGTGGTCTGTGTGAGTGTGTGTGTGTGTGTGTGTGTGTGTATGTATACGTGCATGGGTATGTGTGTACGTGCGTGTGTGTGTGTGTGTGTGTGTGTGTGTGTGTGTGTGTGTGTGTGTGTGTGTGTGTATGTATGTATAATTTGTACTCCAGATGCACGTTAAGACCAAAGTTATACCAGCCATTGAGTCATTTTGATCAATATAATTGACCTCATCGTGAACTCTTCGTCCTTTTTCTTCCTTCCTCTTACCTTTCTTTTCTCAGCCATCTCTTCTCTCTTTCTTGCTTTATCTTTCACTTATTATCTTCAAAGATATCATTATCATAATTGAATAGATTATTGATGATATATTTGAAATATAATATTGTACAATTGCTGATAATAATGAGATAATATGGATGAATAATTCAAGTATTTTATTTATCTTATGCGAAATTTATCATTTTAATATGTATTAGGTAAAAGTACTTCTTTAATCATTCAAATAATGACCATCAAAATTTTCCCATTTTTTCTTTAATCAATATGAAAATGCAAATAATTTGTAGAGATAGACAGATGGATGAGTGAAATAAACATAAATTGATATTGTCACCTAATCGGGAAATAGGTGGCGGTCATGGCAGAGGGTAAAATGAGGAGGCATCATTATAGTGCATGGCCGGAATGTAACCACAGCCTATCCTCTATCTCTAATATATACATGTATAAGCATGCATATGTACATGTTTCCTTCTGTTCATCTTTCTATGGCCACAGTTAGGCTAATTTTGTTCCGGGCGGTTTCTTTTCTTCCTTTTCATTCTTTTTAAACATTTCCATCCCGCTCTCCATACGTGTATGTGTATGTGTGTGTCTGTGTGTGTGTATGTATGTGTATGTGTGTGTTTGTGTATGTGTGTGTGTATGTGTGTGTGTATGTGTGTG